TTAGTATATATATATATATATATATATATATATATATATATATATATATATATATATATATATATATATATATATATATATGTATATATATATCTGCATCTACACATATGTATACATATATATGTATGTATACATGTATATATGTATATATATATATACATATGTATATGTATACATATATGTATGCATGTGCACATAGATATATAAATATATATTTAATATATAGTTTTCTGGGTCTGGATTTTTAACCTTCAATAATTCGTTTCAAAGCAACCAAAAACACCAATTTGTGACCTTCATAAGCAAATCCAGTATCAATCGTTTGAATCCATTTAAAAAAAGTCTTTGAGCTGCAATAAATCAAAATACACTCTTTTAAATTAGAGAACGAAAAAAGTGCCGACAATTACTTTAAAATGACAAAAAACGTTTTAGAGTGGTTAGAACAAAGACTTTACATCGCTTGATTTAGTAAACAAAGATGACTTAAATTAAGGATAACCTTGCAAGGCCTTGCAACAATGAATTAGCAAAGCATGTGTTACCCAGATTAAACATTGATGGAACACACTGTCCGCTGGCATCTAAAAAAAAAAGCAATAAAACCTGCAGGAGTCATTTCAATGATGTACAATTGATGAACAATTAATTTGAAATAGTTGGAGTCAACATATATTACATAAAAAGTAAAAAATACAGAAAAATGAAAGGAGCAACGACGTATCAACTTATGTTAAGGAAGGAGGAAACTGAACTCTATGAATCATAAAAAAATGGGAATCAATTATCATTGGTATGAATACAACTTGGCTTAGAAGAACTTACTAGTAAGTGCTCGAAATGCATTGCGAGATGATCGTTTAGAAGTCGTGTACAGATAGGTGATTGCGCCAATCAAACTACTCGTTAACAATATACTAGTAAAAAGATAATAGGGTGTGCAGCTCCACGAATATTTCACCAACGGCCATTGCCATTTCCACAGATTTCCAGGAAAATGGTTCATTGATTGTGTTTGATTTTAAAGTATGATAAAGCGTTAAATGCTAAAGCTAACGCCGCATCACTTCTAATCGGACTGAAACAAATTTTTACTAAAATTTCGATCTAAAATTTTTTCCAGTGCTCAGTAAAATTGTCGTTCATATTACTAATTTTAATACAATGAGATAAATTGATGCTATACGAAAAAAAAAGACACTGCAGAACGATCTTTGGCGTCATTTATCTAAGTTATGCTACAACTGATGGTAACACATAGAAACCGAAATTGCTTCTTCTAAAACTGTTATGAACCAAATCTTGTTGAATTACCACGGAAAGCATCAATGAAAAATTTTTATCCCAATGAGCATTCTTTGTTATGATTTTTCTCTACACCATCGAATTCATTTTGTATTTATCTCACCAAATCTTCTCATAAATATATGGTAATTTGCTTCAAATGTTGTGGAGATAATATTCTTTGCACTTTTTGTTTAAATAACTCAGTATAGTTAAATTAAATATAATTACATTAGACAAAGTTGAAATAAACAAATCTGATTAAAACTAAACTTAATACTAGTAAATTATAATATTATTCTTATCACTTATACATCATAAACATCAGCTGATAATTTCTACAAATGTTGAATCAAAAATTTCAAGGAAATAGGATTTGTACTAACTGAAAATTAGTTAATGATGGTTTATTCAAATTTGTATCAGACGAATCAGAATGATTTTGTCGACACTACTGACGAACTTGAGAGACTTTAAATGAATGAAATCAAGTTTGTTGAACTGGTAATCCAGCACTCATAATTCTAATGATAAATGATAACGAAAAGTAAACCGACAACGAAGTTGTCATTCTATCATCTGCCAGCATAAACTGTATAAGCAACTAACTTTTCCTTCCTTCCATTCACACATACTATGTTTGCGTTACACTTTTGTATTTCTCTTTTTTTTTCCAATCAATTCAGAGACACATAAAATGTTGTCATATATTATAGCCAAAACGACTGCTAGAAAATCAAAATCTGAACGATTATTGTGGCTCATTTAGACCATCCAAAAAAATTTCAAATTTTAGCAAATAAGAAATCCACGTGCTTGATATGCATAAACTGAGACTGTAAGAAGACATTAGCATTCCTTTACTATAAAATTTCATGCAAACATTGTTTAGCAATTATTTCACTATGAATAAAATGATGTGAGATGAAATAAGGAATGCTGAAATACGTTGTTTGCAAAACGCATACGTCGTATATTAACCAATTAATATCGATCTCAAGCATTCCCAGATAACCTTCGGAGGATTCCGACAAATATGGTAAGAAAGTTATGATTAAAACTGAGCAATCTTTCGGGCATATCATTTGTATTCTATACCATGAATCTAATAATGAATCTCGTTTGTTCAGGACATATAAAATTATGTGATTCGCAAAGAAGTTCAGAATTGTTTTACTTTTCCATTAGTGACAGCACGACAACCAAAACTTCCAAGAATCTATTGAACGACGATAAGAGATCTTGACAAAAACTAATCGAAAGAAAGTGTTGCTCTCACGGTTACATTAAAAAAAAAAAAAAGCCGAATAGTTTTCTTCGGA